AATTTAAAGGCCAGACTCAGAACCACCGCCGATGGGCGATGCATCCGTGCTACTGGAGGGGTGGCAGGCACACGAACGCACCATGGTGCGACGTAACATGGCGACCCTCCCTGCAAGGCGTACACATCCACCACACGAGGTTTTTTCCCTCGTGCACACTTCCAGATCTACAAGGTGGAAAACCATCCCAGCAGTCATAAGTGCGGTTTGTGCATTATTAAATACTCCAGCTACCGTTTTTTTGGTCGGGGGAAAGCATGGCCAGTAAAGACATCTCAGTCAATCCGAACAAGCAACAGCATGCAGACGCTGGTAGAGGCAAGTCGCGGAGGAGAGGTGAAATGACAGTTGTCAATGCGTCGGTGGTACTGAAAGGTTGATACTCACGGCGATTGCACCATAGCTAAACGGCGTCGGAGCGTTGGTGTGGGCTCCCACGTCGAGCAGAAGCGTACCGCGGTATTTTGCATGGGAGTGTTTAGTGGAACATATTATCAAATGGATATATATAAGCGCAGGATGCGCTTTGATAATGAAATTAAGAAATAAACCGACCTTGGTTTGGTTTTTATCAGTTAGAGTTAGACAGAAAGCACCAGTTACTAGACAGAGCTGATGGAGTAATCCGGGGTAGGGACTCGACTAGGGTGAAGCATAAGTTGACGGGGTAGGAGAAAACAACCAGGCCAGTATCACAGCATAATTAGAATTAGCAGGTGATTAAGTCGTGTAGTTGTTTTGGGAAGAAATAGCTAATTTTGATTTGGTTTTTGTCAGTAGAGTTTGGACGAGAACAATAGACGCTAGACAGAGTTCATAGAGTAGTCAGGTGTAGGAACTAGACTAGTGCGAGGTGTAAGTTGGTACGGGGAAAAAGATAAAAAGAAAACAACCAGGGCCAGTAACGCTGAATATTTAGATCAAGTTGGCATTTATTCCTTGGTTAGCATAAAGCGGGTCAAGAGGATGGGAAGAAATGATAACAGGATCCTTTACTTGCCTACTAACTGTAACGTCGCCAAACTCATATGCGTGCTGGACCTGATTCGTAGAGGAGGTCAGAGGGTAGTTGAGTATTAAGTAAGGCGGCAGCAGTTTCA